AGCTTCTGTGGTGTTAAGACGGAGACACTTTTCTGGGACCAGTGTCTCTGGTATGGCAGAAAGGACACTTTGGCTTTCTGTGGTATTTACTTTCTCTTCCGTGCTTCGCTGTTCTGACATTACCACATACGTTATTGACAACAATAGCCTTGGACCTGGTTTCTCACAGGCTGCCTTCTCGCCCCACACCCCAGTTTTGTTCCGGCATGGACTGGCCCCAGGCCATAGGAAACATGCACTCTCTCAGTTTAAAGGGGAGTTGACAGGAACCACTGGGGAAAACATTCATTCCGGCATCTGGCCTCATGGAACTCACTGCTGCCGGACACTCCCAGGAACTTGAGTGATGCCAACACAAGACATTGCCATGACCACCGCTCTGCATGACCTTTCCTCACTCCGTGCCTGTGGGCTGGCAGGACAGCTGTGCTCTTGAGTGTCTGTTGCCAGAGAATTCTCCAGGGCCATCAAAGAGATGGCCACATTTTCTGGTTCCAAGGCAGAGAGATTAGAAACAGAGGGCTCTAGTACACAGTCACTGCACCAGAGAGGGGGCTAAAGGACCCTGGTCCTGTGTTAGATAGAAGGCTGTAAGTCCTTGTCACTTATCAGACAGAGGACGATGGAACCCTACCCATGTGTCAGGGTTAGAGGGTACTGGAAGGCAGGGGGTTGTTGGACACTGTTACTGCCAGGCAATTATCTGTGAGGCCCTGTCTCCGTGCCATAGTGAGGGCCTTGGGTTGCTGTCATCACTTCAGAGGCCAGTGGAACCCTTCCACTGGGCCAGGCAGCAGGTTTGTAGGAAACCATCACTGGTACAGAGCGCCATGGTATGTTCTTACTGGCTCACTTAATGGACAGCTGGCTTCCTTCGTGTTCAACTGAGAACATGGGCTCATTCCTTCAGGTCACTTAGGAACGTGGCCTCTCCACTTCCGGGAGATTCTTGTCCACCTTCCTAGATGGCGTTAGAAGAAGAGCTCTTTTATGGATGTAGATTATGAAGCTTCCCAGCTCAGGGCCTCCCGCAGAGACAGCTCCATAGAGACATGACGTCATCTCTGCTCTGTGCACATCTGCAGAATTCCCAGGGGCACCCACTGTTTAGTCACCTTGCCTTTCATGAAAGTGAGTTGCTTTTATGGCTCTCTTTACGGGGTGATTAGCTTGTGGCTTCTCTCTCATTTGTGTGAGTCTCCAGGAGGGCTTTGATCAGTCGCCATTACTGGATCTGAAGACTCCTGCAGTACCATCACACAGTAAACTCCAGAAACCTCAGGGGCATCGTTTCAGTTCAGTCCCTATGGAATTTGGACCACCTTTTCCTTTAATGATGCCTATAAATAGTCTTTGTATTACGCCTCTTATAGAGATGGAGAAAGAAAATCTAGCTAAGGACATTGCAGTAGAGACAATGGTGGCAAGGAAGAGACACAAGGGGGGGGGAAGGGACTAGAAAGAGGCTGGCTGATGGGTGTGAGTGAGAGGATTGTTCTCATCTTCTAGAACACATAGAACCTTTTGCAACACTCTTTTGTGTTTTACCGTGAATTAGAAGTTAGAGGGCTCTGTGACTCACACCTGTCATCCTCCTACTTGAAAAACTGAGACAGGAGGATTGGAGAACTGAAGTTCTGACCAGCCTGGACTACTGAATAAGATCCCATTTCAAGAACTAAAGAATAACCATCACCAAAAAGAACGAGTGGTTTCCCAGCATGAAGACATGACAGATAACCCCAAGAAAATGCTAATGACTTCTATTAGGTCATCACAGACTGGGCCTATATTTTGAGTTATCACATTGCCTTCCATAAATATATATGGTTATGTGTTAATTAAAAAGTCTAAACACGCAGCAAAGGAAATTTTAGTCTGCTTGATCCTTAAGCCCGCCTTTTCAGTTGATAACCTTGATCTGCCTTCTGTGAGTGGAGGATGGCCGAAAACACACAGGCATAATGGAACTTCATGGGAGGAGAAATATGAGGCAGGCTCCAAGGAAGCGCAAAAGGAGGCCTTAAATCTGTGCTTCAGGCAAGAGCTCTGGGAGGCCCTGATAAGAGGCGAGCCCCTAGCTGATGCAGTCTTAGTCAGACCAATCATATTATTATTTGCTTTGAGAGAATAAGAGTTTAAAAATTTCTCTTTTTGCAGACATCAGGATTTTGCAAAACAGCAACAAATGGGTCGAAAGGTTTCACAATTTAACTCCATCTGGGGAGTGGTTTAAAATTTGAGGCGACAGTTGATTCCTATTTTACCTGGTATTGCAATCATTAAGATGATGATGATGCGCTGGCTACCACTTGTTTGACCTGGGGGAAGTATGGGTGCTGCTGCTTTCTGAGCGTGCACAACGTGCTAGGTCTTCACACTGAGCCACGAGAGTGTCTTTGAAGAACATCGCTACACTTTATCATTTCAGTCAATGGTGCCTGACCAGGGGCCAGGATTAGGAGAGTCCGGGTCTGTTGTAGCTTACCCTTTGCTGTTTCTAGGCTAATTGGTACTCTTCTTAAGATGCCATCTTCTGAGTTAAATGGAAATGGTGAGGGATGTGAGTTAGGTAGCATGCAGGGATCATGCTGGGTTAAACATTCAGTGAGTTCGGAAGACTGAACAGGGGTTCCGGTCCTTCCTCCTTTTTCTAATGGAAGAGGCAGAGAAACGAGGCCACTGTTACATCGCACCTGCACAGCCTGTTTGACAGGTGGGTCCTGAGAATGAACAGGCTCTATGTGCCCTGGCCAAGCCCTGAGCCTCACAGCCTGCAGCTGGCCTCTTGGCTGCTGTTGCCTCTTTGGCTGAGGCATCCTTCTCTGGCGGCTTTGCCTCTCCAGCATCTGTTGAATCATTTGCTTTTTCTTCTCCTAAGAGACAGTCCAGGGAGCTGGGGGGCTTGTTATTGTGGGAAGGCTGCCACCCTTATGGTGCCTTATAGTCCTCATTGAGTGACGGATTTATGTGACCAGTTTTGATAAGTGGCTGTTTGCAACTTACTGGTTGGACAAATTCTTTGTCATTTCTACTTGAAAGGCTGGCCCTCTGAGAGCCGTGACTAAGTGACGAGTGGATGAGAAGGTCATTTGTAGTTGCCTAACATCTTGTCACAGCTCATCTTCTGATCTTTCTGTTTCTATTGTTTTGATCTTATTTTTTTTTTTAGAAAGAATGCGAGAGCTGAAAATTGGGAGGTGAGAGGACTATTAATAGACCCCATAAACAGCCAACCACTTGCTTGACAAACACACCAACACATTGTGCTAAGATCTAAGTCCTTTGCCTTTAATGACTTGAGATTTGCTGAACTCCAAGGCACCCTGGGTTCGTTTTCCTGCTGGGACTCGGTCATGGTGACATTCTGACTTGGCAGTGTGAGAGCCACTCTGCTGACTCATGCTTCTCTCAACTCCGTCCAGGTCTCCACAAACCTAACAACTAGCATGTGGTCACTGTGCAGGTGTCTGGAACGGTTCCCAGGGCCCATTGCGAAGGCAAGAGCCCCATCATACACTTGGTGCTTTACATAAATGCAAAGCAATTTCTCCTCTCCCATCAGGGCCCCGCCTCTGGTAATTTAAGTATTTGGTAAAGAGCAGCTCCGAGGCTACTTCGCTGGTTGGGCTCTGAGCATTTCAGGTCAGTTTTCCACTTAATTCCCACAACAGCCTTTGGGCGTGACTACCAGCAAGGGCGTTGTTTTCAGGTGAGAACTGTTTGTGTGACCACGATGAAGCCACTCAGTAAGCGGTAACGCCGGGACAGGAGTCTGGGTGGTCCTGATGCCAGGGCTCATGTTATTATCAGGCATGACTCGTTCTAAGTTCAATAAGTCTAGTTCTTGGACGCTTGCATCAGGAAGTCACCTGGGAGATGTGTGAAGCAGGCTGTAGAAGGAGATGGAAAATGAGTGTGTCTGGGCTCGGTTAGAGGGAGCCAACCGGCCCAAATTCCTTCAGAAACGTGTAGGCAAGCAAGCAAACTTTATTTATTTAAATTTTATTCATTATGTATACAGTGTTCTGCCTGCATGTATCCCTGAAGGCCAGAAGAGGGCACAAGACCCCATTACAGATGGTTGTGGGCCACCATGTGGTTCCTGGGAATTGAACTCAAGACCTTTGGAAGAGCAGGCAGAACTTTTAACCACTGAGCCATCTCTCCAGCCCTCAAGCAAACTTTCAAAACCAGGGCAAAGAACTCACACACACATAAAGTGCAATAACCTGTGATTATTCAGCAATCCCAAAATAATACAAATATTTCATCCCACAGGCAAAAGGTGAGTTCCAGGCCAGCTAGGGCTATGTCTTGAGACCCTGTCTCAAGAAACAGACAAGAAGATAAATGAGAAGGAGAAGATTTTGATGGTGGAAGCTAGAGACCAAAAGCAATGATGGGAGGGACAGATGACATCAATGATTGATTTCCCCCCCTCCCCCAGAGATACAAATGTCTAATGAAACGTAGTTTCAGAGGCTTAGGGTAAACAGTAGCAGAGAATGTAGCAATAGAAAAGTAATTCTGTGTGTAGAGAAAAGTAACCCAGCAATTCACACAGGTTTCCCCATGGCCGCTAAATTGTAATTTCTTATGCACGTAAACTTGAAATACAATCTATCTGAAAATAAAACTATGTCAAGAAAATGACAGAATGCTTAATCAGAGTTCTTTGATGTGCCATTGGAGGGAATGATGCATTTCATAATTAAGCCAGACTTTTCTGTGGTCAAAGGAGAGAATTTTGCAGCTGTTAATTTACTTTTTGTTTAATAGTATTATTATTTTTCATTGTGCTCTCTTGAGCATCTTGTCATGTTGGTCTATCTGTTGAGGATGTATAGTGTGGACATATAGTTGTGTCTGTAATCTTGTTATTGATGCAACATTGAAGTTGTTTATTGTTCACTAAGACAAACAACATTGCACAGAGCAACTTTTGTGCTTGCTTTTGGTGGTGACCATGACTTCATGATAGCATTCTGCTGTTCCAGAGATGATTGACAGTTCCTGCTAGTCCACCTCTGGACACATCACGGCATACTCCTCCAAGCAGCTTTGGCTAGGTAGGTTTTGACTTGTCTAGCCTAAATTCTCTTTGGTCTAGCCTAAATTCTCTTAGAACTGTTATCTGGTGAGTGACTAATCTTTAAAATGTTTTCTTTGCACACATTCAGTATACAAGGTGATAGCTTCATAGTGAAATTTCATTGAATGAACCAGATTCTTTGATCATATTCTTCTCTCATTACCCTCCTTTGTTTTCCTTATTCCTAGTTTCTTCTGTTCAAATACTATTTTGGCCATTTGTATCCAACAGATAGGAAAACTGTTGTACTTGGAAAGGTCTGCTTGCCTCTTACTCCATGTCTCATGGCTCTTGCAGCTGTTTTCCCTCACCAGATCTCTCGCTCACCTTGATCTTTGTCCTGGTGTCTGCTTCTGAGAAGACCTGAACCGCTTTAGTGAGCATTCCTTTAGGAACAACAACAAAACCCCTGGAGAAACACAAATTTGGGGCCACCAAGGATTATGTATCTGTACATTGACCTGTGTAGTCATTTAGCATTTTAAAAGTAGATCCGGGGATCCGACTTAGGACTCTTCCCATGCTATGTAAGTGCTCTGTTGCTTCACTAGATCCTCTGCCCATTTTAAAAGTCGATACAATGTGTATAAAATGAAGTGGACTCATAAACAGCACACAGGATTTTGTAAACTGAGAACTCAGAAGCAACAGCTTATTACCCACTCCTCAGAAACCCTTCCTTGGCACCCCTACACTCATTTTCTACTTCTCCAAAGCTAAACATCTTCTGTCTTTAAAAAGTTAATTTTTTTTATTTACCTGTTTTGTGTACATGTGCACCACAGCACACATGTGGACTCTCTACTTCTGCTATGTACTTTTTGGAATTAAATTTAAGTCATCAGGCTTGGAGGCAGGTTCATGAACCTACTAAGCCATCTTGCTGGCCTACCTTCTGCCTTTGACTATCTTAAATTAGTTTTGGTTATACTTGAAAAAACAAATCACAAGCTTCAGTATGTTTCACAACCATGCGATATGTATTCTTTACTACTGGCTTCCTTTTCTCAATATTATGTGTGTGAAATTAACCCATATCTATTTGTGATCACTGCTGTATAATATTCTATCTCCTGACTAAGTAATAATTTATTCATTCATTTTATTATAACTTTAATGTCCAGTTTCTATCTGTTAAAAACAGTGCTGAAACTCCCACACCTACATCTCAGGGAACATTGGGGGAAGAGAGAGTGGAAAGATGATAAGAGTCAGAGGATCAGGGAGTTTGCTCTGAGACTGTGTCTCCTAGTAATGTCAAAAGCCACACCCATTAATGTCTCACTAACATGACTGCCCAACATGAGTCAAAGAAGGAGACTGACCCTTCCCAGGGTCTAGCTTTTACAGAACTAGAAGATGTTATGCAAGCTTCCAAAAAGAAAAGCAATGAAAAGCCCTTCCCAGCTATGATGCCTATGAACCACAAGAATGACCAGATGGGCAACATATCCGTAAAGGTGTAATAGTGGTGCTTATATGTGGGTGGTAACCAAGAGCTGTCTAATTGAACCTAAGGCCTGCTCAACAGAAATGCAGTCATGCCTGGTACTATAAGCCTAGCTAACGGCTGGTGAGGTTATGGATGTTAGCTGAGAACTGACTACTGCCATTTCCCTAAATCAGTACGATTCCTAACTGCATTCTAAATAATTATCCTTATACTAACAAACAAGTGTAGTTTCCACTCCTTATAAAAGAAATTTCTTTTTCTCAGCAGACGGAGACCATTACAGAAAGCCACGCCTGCTTAAAATACAGAGAATAACTGACCATGTGGTCCTACCCCCAACAAGTACATCAATAATACAACTCCTACACCTAAAGCTCAGAAGCATCTTGAAAGGGATAGTCGAAAGATTGTAAGATCCAGAGGATCAGAAAGTGTGCTGTGAGATTGTGTCTTTTAGATATGATAGGGGAGCGACACCCATGAAATTTCAACAACATGTCTGCCAAAATAAGACTGGAACAATTCCAAAAATAGCTGGTACCCCAGTGTAGATGGGGGAATCTCTTGGGGCTCAACCCTATCTGAAGGTCTACAAGCAATTAATGACAGCTGAGGGAGGGAGAATTAGTCTTCCCCAGCGATGAGGCCCCTAATTGATTATTCAGTATCATAATTCAGCTTTAAATACCACACACACACACACACACACACCCCAATAATTATTAAATAAAAAGAGGCCATGACTTTGTGAGAGAACAGGGGCAATGGTAAAGGAAGGAGAGAATGATCTAATTATATCCTTGCTAAAAGTAAAATGGAAAGTCAAAAAAGAATTTGACATAAAATTTTGAGAGAACCAATTATATTTTTGATTTCATTGTTGTTGATAAATTCAATGTCATGTTTGTAATGGTTTAAGTAAAATACTGCAGGTCTCCAAGTGGTGGCAGTGGGCAGTGGGCTATGAGACCACTCTGCAGGTCCCCAAGTAGCAGCAGGCAGTGGGGAGTAGGTCCTGAAACCACGGCAGGCCACAAAGGCAGCCAGGTCCCAGGCAGGAAGCCACGTGGTGGGTGAGAAAAATCCAAGGGATCCTGGGCCCCCAGTCAAATGCACCATACAGGGTGTGCAGTGCTAGCGTGGGAGGACTGACCCTGGGTTGTCTGGTCATGTTTTCAGGTAAGGGAAGCAATCCAGAGATGAATGTCAATGAAGGGCTCAACCGTAGCCGTTAAAGCCATGGTTAGGGGTTGTCCCTCCATTTCTAGAAACGCCAGAAGATTTCCAGGAGCTCAACAGTCAATTCCTCAGGTTCAGAGAAACTGTTAAGCTGACCAGAATGAGGAAACTCACCAAATGAAAGCGGTGGTGTATGTAGACGGCACACTCAGGCAGATGGAAAGGAGAGCTGTTGTAAAAAAACCTGGTTCTCGAGCCCAGGGTTCCACACATCCTCAGCCAGCCTGCCCATGGGCTAGAGGGAATGTGGAGAGCCTGGCCAAATCACGGAGCACCAGTCTGAGTCATAGCACCATTGTAATGGTTTAAGTAAAATACTGCAGGGCTGAGTGGCTGGAGTGGGCGGTGAGTCTCCAAAGTGGCAACAAGCAGCAGGCAGTGGGTCCCAAGAGCAGCCAGTCCCAGGTAGGGATGGCACAGTTCCCCGAGTGGCTGCATTGGGCCATGAGTCCCAGGCAGGGAACCGTGTGTTAGGTGAGAGATCTCGATGAGATAGCCAGTCCCACAAGGAAAGACAGACAGAAGACATGCCACGAGACCATGCTGCACAGGTCTCTGAAAGTGGCTGATCTTGGCAGGTAGCTATGTGGTGGGTGAGAGACTGAGACATGGAGAGGCATGCTATGCAGAGTGAGGTTGGATATTTATTTAGTGGGTTATGGAGAGGAAAGGGGAGAAGGGGAGAAAAGCAGAGAGAGAGAGAGGCAGAGAGAGAGAGAGAGAAAGAGAGAGAGAGAGAGAGAGAGAGAGAGAGAGAGAGAGAGAGAGAGAGAGAAAAGGAAAGAGCTCAGGCTGGAACCTGAAGATCAGCTTGCCTCGACAACAGGGGGTGGGGTGGAGAGAGAGGGCATGACTTGTCACTTAAAGGGACAGGACAGACCATTACAATGTTGATTCTAATTTTTCACATATACCATTTCTCCATCTCTGAAAATTATTTGTCCTCCACCTGAACTGAGCTCATGGGGACTTATGAACTCTAGACTGACAGCTGGGGAGCCTGCATGGGACAGAAAAAGGCCCTCTTTATGTGGGAAACAGCTGTGTAGCCTGGACTGTTCGAGGGGCCTCTGGCAGTGGGACCAGAATCTATGCCTGATGCATGAGCTGGCTTTTTGGAGCCCATTTCCTATGGTGGGGTGTTTTGCTCAGCCTTGATGCAGGGGGAAGGAGGTTGGCCCTGCCTCAAATTAGTGCACAAAGCTTTCCTGACTCCCCATGGGAGGCCTTACCCTTTCAGAGGAGTGGATGGGGGATGGGTTGGTAGAGAAGTGGGGGGAGTGGGAGGAGGGGAGGTATGTAAAATTGTGGAGGCCCAAAATTATGAGCCTGTTTCCCCATTGACCAAAAGTCAGAGAGTTGGAACTTGTTTCTAGTTCCTTCAAGGTTATTGTGCTTCAACCTCAAAACAAAGATCTCACCTAGTTGTAAATCAGAGGGTTCTGCTCTCTTGGGGTTATTGTCAACAGGTGTGACTAATAGTCAGACCTGTGCTCCAGGAATAGAAAAGTAGATCTGTTCTTACCTCAAACAAAATCTAAGGATCCAACTAAGCTTCAGTTCCCTTTATGGAGATAACTTGAGATTCCACCCAGGGAGTGGTTTGCCTACAGACTGTTTTGGTCTAGGGTGTGATGTGACTTGGTGGCTTGTTTTGTTCTAGAAACAGAATGTTTAACTATGAATGTAGCCCGCAACTTTCAATTGGTATGCTCATTTCCTTGTATCATATTAAAGTTGTCTTTTGTCTTACTCCTACCTTTTGGGGTCTGGGGTATTTTAAGCAGTTGGAAATTAAATGAGGGTGAATTTTCAGTGCTCACTGGAATTCCCTCCTGATACTATCCTATATATTTCTCTGTTTTATTATTTTCACTTGCACCTAAATTACCATGCCTCTACTCTGGAGAAAGGTATTTTTGTCAAGGCTGGTCCCTGACATAAACTGAATAAAAAATGTAAAATAAAAAAAGAAAATTATATGTCCTCAAAGTTCTGAAAGTTTGGGGTGATACATCTTGGTATGGGTCTACTTTCTTATATTATTCTGGATACTTAGATGCCCTTTATCCTGGAAAATTGTTCCTGTGTTCCTGGGAGGGTTTCCTTGATATTTTTCTTTCCTGTACCCTATTTTCTTGGCATGGCCATTCTGAATGTAGGTGTCCTCAACTTTCTGATGATTTTCAAGACTTTCTATGTGTTGCACACCTACCCCCACACTCCAGATTCTCTATGGACTCCAGATGCCCATTTGATACCTCAACTTACATGCTAAGTGTAAGCTCTCCACATCTGCTCTGCTGTCTCAGCCCAAACCACAGGGAACTGCATCCACAAATGGCAGCTTATAGCCTTCCACTGGTCATACCAGAGATATGGGATCCATATTTCTCAGTCTAATTGCTGCCTGGTCTTCTGCGAGTTAATCAGCTCCCCTCACTACCCTCTCCTTCACAAGCCATGCACCAGGCACACCATGTTTCTATCACATAAAGAAAGTCTTAGGGCCTTCCCACTGCTGTTCCTTCAGCCTAAAATATGCCTAAATGTTTTCATTTAAAGGGAGATAAGATATAGAGATAAATACTTTGCATTGTTATGGATCTTGGTTTATTGATACATATTTAAGGTTTATTTTGTTATACAGTGTATATGTATTTCTGCTCTTGTTTAAGGTATTATGTTTGTGCAGCTCATTTAAAAATGTATAATTAAAAATTATGAATTAATATATAATCATTTATAATAGTCAAACTTGTAGTCATGTTAGTTATGTTTTCTAATATACAGAGATATATTTCAGATGGATAGGTATTCTTCAACCCTTTCAGAGACATACAGAATATGGCATTTAAAATGTCTTAAGAACATAGACTTTTCTTGATAGTGAGACATGTCTGCTTCTGGTAGCACCAATTACTTCAAGAGGAAGACAGGCATCTAAGAATCTTCTTATTGAGACTTATGGGCTAGAAACTGCTCTTGCCTGGGCTTCTTGATGGTATGCTGTATGAACTTGACATGCAAGACCCATAGAAAATGGCTGCTGAACTTGCCTACTTCAGGGTTCCTGCTCCACCAAAGAAAATGCCAGTCATTCTGAAGGACACAGAAGAAAGTAACTGATAAACTGCCAATGTAGGCAGAACAAATCTTCAAATTTCCTGCTTCATGGAATAGTCTGCTGGATGCTATGGTCCTGTAGGTTGAAGATGGATGCCTCAATGTTACAGAAGAACCACAGTTTGAATTGGTTTTTCCTAATGTTAAGACAATGGGTTTCTTTGACCGCTCCTCAGAATTTGTGAGCATGATCAGACTCCCAGTGGTCAGTCCCTTAAAGAAAACTGAGTCCTTCCTCATACCAACCCCTGCCAGAAGGCATCACCTGTGAAGAGCTATACTTCAGCATCTTTATCACAGGTTTTAAAGACTCTCTTAGATGTCTTTCTGTCTGGACCCTTCCTTCCTTCCTTCCTTTTTTTTTTAAATGCGGTTTTGGGGTGAGCATGGAGGTCTTCAATGCCTCTCATTCTCAATTATAAGTCTGCAGTCATCAATACCATTGCAAAGGAAGCTTCCTTGCTTATAGCAGTTGGCAGTAGCACAGACGGACTTCAACATGGTTTCCATTGGCAGTTTGGATATGGGACATACCCCGGTCCTTAGTAACAGCATGGATCATGGACATCACCATGGCCTGTGACCACATAGCCTCCCATAGACACCAGCATGGCCTCTGGGAGCAGCATTTATCAATGACATCAGCCTAGCCTCCTGGAGCAACACAAACCATGGATGTCAGCACTGCATTTGGTGGCAGCACAGACCAAAGAAGGCCTTTCAGGAGTTGTCATTCCAGAGATACATTATTGTTGCTCTGAGTCAATGAGGTTGGACAACATGGGGCAGGGGCAGCAGGACCCTCTTGAGCTCCAGGCTGCTGCACACCACCCTGCCCTTGGCACTGGCCACCTACTGGCTCCTTTGTCCCCACAGTAGTGCTCGCATGCCACAGTAGCTCCACTCCTTTCTGCCACCCCCTGCCCTCGCCCCCAGTGTCATGAAACCACTTTTTAAAAGCATCTTCCCATATATTATTTTATCAAACATTTGTTAATAACATTAAATCAGCCACTATAGAAGAAAAATAAAATAGCAAGGGAAAAAATAACAACCATATCTGTAAGCAGAAACTTTGTAAATAAAGCAACAATTTTTGAAAAAAAAAAAAGCATCTTCCCATAAGTTCTTCCATTTTAAAAATCACCCTCCACCATGATATCTCCCCACACAGCCTCTGTTTGTCTCTCAGACTCCTTGTAATGCCCCAGAACCCAAGGCCCTGAGGGCACTGGCAGGGGCTGTCTTGAATCTACTTCTCCAAATTAAGGTGCCTTTAAAGGCAGCTCAAATGGGATAAAATTGAACACCTGTGAAAGTGTGCTCAGTGCTGGAGCTTGAACACTTTAATTCCCAAGATTCTCTGTCGAGATGCATTTTACCTTGAACCTCAGTTTTAATTGATTTTTCCTAATGTTAAGACAATGGGTTTCTTCGACCGCTCCTCAGAATTTGTGAGCATCATGCGTTAAGATCTCGGATGTTACTTAGCGTCTCTGGGGTTGTGGACTACAGGCTCATTGTCCTTTGCTTTACAGCTAGTATCCACTTCTGAGTGAGTACATGGCATGCTCATCTTTCTGGGTCTGGGTTACCTCATTCAGGAAGGGTTTTTTTTTCCTAGTTCCATTCATTTGTATTCAAATTTCAAGATGTCTTTGTTTTTTTACTGCTGAGTAGTACTCCATTGTGTAAATGTACTACATTTTCTTTATCCATTTTTCAGTTGAGGGACATCTAGGTTGTTTCCAGGTTCTGAATATCACAAATAAATGCTGCTCTGAACATAGTTGAGCAAATGTCCTTGTAATATGATTGAGCATCCTTTGGGATACCCAAGAGTGGTATTGCTGAGTCCTGAGATAGGTTGATTCCCAATTTCTGAGACACTGCCATAGTGATTTCCAGAGTGGTTGTACAAGTTTGCATTCCCACCAACAATGGATGAGTGTTCCCCTTACTCCACATCTTCTCCAGTATAAACTATCACTAGCTAGTCTGACTCATGAAAGATGGTATCTCAGTAATTTTGATTTGCATTTCCCTGATGGCTAAGGATGTTAAACATTTCCTAAGTGTCTATAGTCTACAACCCTAGAGAAGCTAAGTAACAAGGTGAACCCTATGAGAAACATATATAGATTCCCCTGGGAAGGGGAAATAGACAAGATTGCCTCACAAAATTGGGAGCATGGGGGTGAGGGAAGAAGGGAGGGCAGAAGAGGAGGAGAAGGTGGATGGGGAGGGGAGAGGAGAACTTGAGGAAATGGGATAGTCGAGATGGAGGAAGGACAGAGATAAGAGCAAGGAAAGAGATATCTTGATTGAGGGAGCCATTATGGGGTTAGCGAGAAACCTGGCTTTAGAGAAGTTCCCAGGAATCCACAAGGATGACCCCAGCGAAGACCCTAAACAATAGTGGAGAGGGTGCCCAAATCAGATTGATGACTATCTTAAATGTCACCGTAGAACCTTCATCTAGCAACTGATGGAGGCAGGGGCAGAGACCCGCAGTGGAGCACTGGGCTGAGCTCCCAAAGTCCAGTTGAAGAGTTAAAGGAATGAGAATATGAGCAAAGAGGTCAAGACCATGATGGGGACACTCACTGAAACAGCTTACTTGAGCTAATGGGAGCTCACAAACTTTGGCCAGACAGGGAAGGAACTAGCTAGCATAGGACCAAGCTAGACCCTCTGAATGTGGGTGACATTTGTATCGCTGAAGCAGGCTGCAGGGTCACTGGCAGTGGCACCAGGATTTGTCCCTGCTTCTTGTACTTTGGCTTTTGGGAACCCATTCTTTTTGGATGGATACTTTACTCTGCCTGGATATAGTGAGGAGGGCCTTGGTTCTTCTTAGGAACAATGTGCCTTGCCCTCTCTGGGGAGTAGATAGGGGGTGGAATACGGGTAAAGGTGAAGGGGATGGGAGGAGGGGAGGAAATGGGAACTAGAATTGGTATGGAAAATGAAAAAAAGATTTTTTTTTAAAAAATAAAACAAAAAAATCACAGATGTTGCTTTTGGTGTTTTGGAGAGGAATGTGAAGTCTGCTCTTTGCTTGCTTAGTGGAAATGGCTGCTTCCAGCAGAGGGCGCCCTTACACAGTGGATCTCCCCAGCCTCGGGATTACTTGGTGCTATTGAAAAGTACTGGGTAATGGCCCTTGCTTCTGAAGGCTTTGCAGTCTAGCTTGTTTTTGGCAAGCCATTTATTCCTAAGGTGTTAAAGTGTTAAGAAGACTTGTTCCAGTATTTTCATAGTTGGATAACTACTAAACTCTACTATTGATGACGGTGGTAGCAGATCATAAAACGGCTTAGCTAAATGTCTCCTGATTTTATTTACTCATAAATCGTATAAATATCGGTGGGGGCATTTTCGTGTGCAAGGCCTGGGAATGGGTAGAGGAAGACAGAGTGAGTCCCAATCAAATCCTCCCCCAGAGGAGCTTCCAACACGTAAAGGGAGTGAGACAGAAATGCAGGAAGTGAAAAGGCAAACGTGTGCGTTTGTACACAGATGTGTATTCTTGCCTCAAATGCACGCTTATCAGCTGCAATGATTTCTCTCATCATCACAGCTGGGAGGCACAAGTCTTTCTGCTTCCCGTTGCTGATGACAGAGAGAAGCGCTAATTTGCTTTGAAAATGTTTTCACCTCTGCCAAAACTGATTCGCTCAGGGCTTCCTTCTCCTTGCTTCAAGCTCAGGCTCTCTTTCAAGAGGGAATTACTCTGGATGTTGCAATTTGATCCCTAATTTTATGATAGGTGATTTGAAAGATAGACTCGGACTCGTTCATTGTGTCGGTGTTCTCGAAAGCCTTCTAGTTTCCTATGAAAAGAGGATTCATGGCAGCCAAACCCTCTTCCCCAAGGAGGAAATTTAGAATGAGATTTGAAAGTGGTAGAATTGTTTATTAGTTTTCTGTTACGGTATTGACAGATGTGAATATAGGTGCCTGTTTTAGCTTGGTCTCTGTGTCTGTGGACACTTCAGAAGTAGGGCCTGGAATTCTTTGGTTCCTTAGAACACCGTGCACTGGGCCTTGGGACACACCAGGAGGTTCTGGGGATCCTCTAGGAACAAACAAACTTGGCTCAGTGGCCTGGCATGACTACCTGTTCTGTCACTGCCCTGCTATGGAGAGACCAGAATCGCTCTGCATGGCATGATCTTCCCATGTGATGGTTGATCCAGACACCTGTTGCAGTTTTCCTCTTGCTTGTTTCCAGGACAGCATCTAGGGTAGGCACTTGAATGCTCTGCCCAGACCCTGTGCCTGAAACCTGTACACACCTAGGTGCTGGAGTGCAGCAGGGAGTCACATTGTTTTTGAGTTGATATTTCTTCTAGCAACTCACAGAGAAGGTTAGATAGGAAATGGGATATAAAACTCCAGTCCCTTGCCTTAAGGCTGGAGTCAATTCTCTGATAGGACTCATAGGCCAGCACTGTCTGTTGAGTCAGGCTGAAGGGAGGGTCCCGCGGACACAGCCATCTTCCTGTCTTTGCCTGCTCTGCCCACCTTTACCCACTTCCTTACCCAGAGGGTACTCTGGCTGCATTCGGAGTTCAAACACTGCCTCCAGAAACCTTACTCGAGGCAGCATCTCTTTGGAAGGACGAAGACTCTTCATTCGTTATGAAATCCTGGTTGCTCATCTGCTGCTGCATCTCCTCCTCCTGAGGAGGGCACGCTTTGATCATGTGCCAAGTGGCGATGAGCCCCAGTGTGTTCTCGCTGCTAGTGATACACACTCCTTTCCAGTGAGTGGCTTACGAATGAGACTCAGTCAGGGTTGGAGAGATGGCTCAGTGGTTAAGAGCACTGACTGATTTTGCCGAAGGCTAGGGTTTGGTTCTCATCATCCACACAGTGGTTCACAGCCATCTATAACGTCAGTTCTAGGGGAACCAACACCCTCTTTTGACCGCTGTGGGCATCAGTAACACATGTGGTGTACATACACACATTCAGTAAGTACACGCATAAGCATAAAATAAACCACACACACACAAGACTTGAATTCCATCAGCTGATCAACTACACCTAAGGGAAGTTGGCTAGATGTGATTTTTTTTAATATAGAAGAGTAAAGGAAATCATATTTTTGTATTCATATATCTGGATATTGTTAAGTGAAAATGTGTTAGCAAGGCTTCGGCAGCTGTTTTAGGACTAAGAGGGATAGCCAAAGTGACTCTGACACTCGTGACGTAATTGAGCCACTGAGTTAGCACAGCTGCTTCCATACTATGTAAAATGAGGTGGAAGGTTGCCTCTGTTTGGCTGCTTTTGGTGGTCCTGTTCCTTTTATAAATGAGGACTTTACTGGGTATCTACAAAGCCAGCCGCAAGGAGGAAAGCCATTTTTAACTAAAGGCTTGTGATACAGAGGACTCAGAAGAGAAAAAAAAGCTATCTTGATGGCTGGTGGTTGCGTCATGCCTGGAGGAAACAGCTCCTCTACACCAACGTTGTGTTAGGTTAGTTAGGTTCATCTAGATGTACTTGAAGACAAGGAGTCTAGAGTAGTTGTTTGAAAGTATCTAGGAAATACCAACAAAGAGGTAGGGAATTAAGAATGGTGTGGAAAAGGAGCCAATGTGGAATGTGTTAAGGAGCAATCGGGTCTCTAATCTACTTGGTGAGTGAGCTCTTTGAGGTTGGGTAGAACTAAATGTCAGAGTTGTTTTACCCCAGTTAGGAGGGAGTTGGGACTATTATTCTATGAAATCCATGACCATAATAGCTGGAGTCTTTTCCCAGGCTGGCCTTGAACTCATGATCCTCCTGCCTCTGCCTCCTTCAGCAGATCCTACTAGCATCCACCACCACAACTGGGAGTGGTGGTGGAGGTCTTTTCCAAGGGGCATTATTGCAGTTTTTCTTTTTCTTTTGCATTGTTTAGCATAATGCAGAGACTAGAGATCACTACCAAGGCCTAGCCCAAGATGGCTTGCAGTTGAAAGTCTTCCCTGTTGTAATAGGGGAGCCGGCTGCTTTTTGTCCTGCCCGGCAGCCCGGCTAACTTTACCCGAAATAATTACACAGAAACTGTATTTATTTAAACACTGCCTGGCCCACTAGTTCTAACCTCTTATTGGCTAACTCTTACATATTTGTTTAATCCACTTCCATTAATATATATCGTCATTTGACCATGGCTTACAGGCATGAGTCTAACCAGCGTCCATCTTGGGGAGAAAAGCCATGGATTCAGCCACACTGTCTTCTTCTTCACGGAATTCTGTTCTGTCTACTCCACCCACCTAAGGGCTGGCCTATCAAAAGGCCAAGGCAGCTTCTTTATTTAACCAATAAAAGTAACACATAGACAAAAGACCCTATGGAAAGTGTTAGGGGCAGGGGCGTCTTGTGGTGAGAATCTTGGTTGAACACTGTAAGTCATGTGGGACTGGTAGGCATCATGCCCCTTACCATGAGGTAGAATGTTGTATACTAATGAAATGAGCATGGGGTGGGGAGAAAATGACTTTCCTTTGGGAGAGCAGGGAAGATGGATTTTAGTTTGTATTAAGGGGTGAGGAGATTCCATGAGAAGGGGCATTTGCATTAAATGAGCTGCCTAGGGTTAGCACAGGGATAGTTCTTACATATTAGCATATGCTGTCTTATAGTTGTTAGGTAGTAGTTTTGACTAGGAGAAGAAATGGGTGAGTTGAAACAGCAAACTCAGTTGGAGGAACATGGGGGCACACAGTGGCAGGCCAAGATTTCAGTTTGTCATATTGCCTTGAGCAGAAAGTACTATATTAACAGAGCCTCCAGAAGGACTTAGGCTCTTGTCTCTGAATGCCCCAGGCAATGCCAGTTATACTGATTTGCTGGCATCTCCTTGCTTTTTGAGCTCAAGTTTTGCCTTCTTCTGACACATTTCTCTGCATATTTATTTCTAAATTATTTTAGATGACCTGTGATACTTGTGTGATCAAGCCCCATGCCCAGTGACTCCTATGGAAGAAAAAGTTTATTTGTGCTTGCTGCTCCAGAGGGGTTGTCTGTAATGGGAGAGGCACGGAATCAGGCACAGGTAGGTGCGAGACCACATTTTCACCCACAGGCAGGACACAGTGAAGGAGCTAGAGGGTCTAAACCCTCAGAGTTCACCCCCAGTGTTGTATTTCTTGCAGCAAGGCTGCATCTCAAAGCATCCATAGCCTTCCCAAACAGTACCACCTGCTGGTGACCAAATGTTCAGGTCCCTGAGCCTATGGAGACATTTCTCACTAAAACCACCATGGCCCCCTTAGTTCATTCTAAGCCAGTGTAGTGGTCACTGAAGCTTTACTAGTTTTCAGGCATTCAAAGGGGTGGCGATCACCTTGTGCCCATATGACCCTATTCCTTTTTCCTCTCTGTGTCCTGTCTACTTCCTGCTCCAAAATGGTCCATCCCAATGAAGCTCACTTTCCTTTCTTTTAAACAAATCTCCTTTCAATGTTATTTCTTTTAAACACTTATTTAATAATGGATTCTATTAAACTCTGATTTAATAATTGTAGTGACTTTTGTGTCTGCTGTAGGTACAGGCTTGTGACAAAATATAGATTTTGTCTCCTAGAAAATGTTCTCAGTCACAGGAACTCATACTATGCTCTCATTTGATGAATCACTGCTTTTTTTGTGTAGTATTTATGAACGGTTTGATAATTGTATGTAAAATAAAATAACTAAGTAAATAAGTAAATGTTTTTGCTCTCTTCTTCCCCCTCTCCTTCCATTTACTCTCTCTGTCGCTCTCTTTTTTCCTTTCTTCTTTCTTCTAAGGAAGCACA